GCCTAATGAAGCCTTTGATCCGTGGTAACAGTATTTTTGAAAGTATAAATGTGACTGTCATGGTATATGGAGCAGAGTTGTGCGTTTAATTATTTAAACCTAACTCTTGCCCTTTACAACGATGATGGAAAAGTTGGTGTATAAAACCCGTAAATTTTGCATGCGCCATTTTGCTCGTGTATGTGACCTTGCATGGGTACCATCACTACGCCTATTTCCGCCGCGAAACAGCGATTGAGGCTAGATCTTTTTTCTCAAACTGTGTGGCGGCCTTAAGTTTGTGATGCCTAAAGGATGTGGTACTGAATGAGCGTGGTGGTGAATGAGCAGTCAGTAGGTTCTCACATGTTTATAAAAAAAAAAATTGAAATAAAACACTGATTCAATTTCATCACTTTATTTCAATGCTGAATTGAATATTTTAATTTCTATATAAACAGTTTTAAAAATTATGCCCTTACGAACTATCTTTAGATACTAATATGACATACTTCAGTCGAATTCTTTTCTCGATATTACAATAATAACACGATCATTCTAATTACTTATTCAATTCAAAATTTCGGTTTACGATATCATACACACAGTTCTGTAAACTATAGATAACATAAATTGACAGGTGTCAAAAATGACACCTGTCAATTTAGAAATAAACTTTGCAAGAAAAAGAACTAATACAATATTTTATTAAAAATATGTAAAATTGCATTGGATTTTACGTCTTTTTCAGAATCAAAATATATATTTCATATCGTAAACTGAGTTTTTTTGACAGAATATTTACCTTTCATCTCCTAAAACTTCGACTTTATAAATCTTAATACGCATTTTTTTACACTTTACTGAAATGATAAATAATTAAATTATTTGGGTGACATTGAGTTAAACCACTTCAGTTCGATTTAAAAATTAGTTTTAATTCAATTTATATCGGTGTTGCCAAATTAATGAAAATTTAACTTATTGAAAAATTAAGGAAATAATTATGAATTCTGCTTTAATTCTTACTAACGTAGATAGCTGAATGTCACCCTCAAGCATCCTCAAACCTCAAAACACCAAAACTGTCTATTACACAATACGAAGAGAATTGGATATTTCTTCAAATCTTAACAACAAAATTCCATTTGCAATCTCACTACAATATTCGACATGTGACAACAGAATAAATCTAGATATTACAAAAAAAAAAAAAGTATGAGACCGTAAATGGAATCTATTTATGAGATCTATAGTGGTTTTGCCAAGACGAACGTCAAATAAAAATAAATCATAGGAGTTATTTTTTTATTTATTTCAATGGTTTCATTCTTTCCATTTTCCCTGAACTTGAGAGCTTTATAAATGTGAAATGAAAGTTAGTTATAAAACAAGATAAAAGTATATTAATTTACATTACCGCTCACACACGATAAGGTTATTTATATTCTAAAAATAATCTGTTGTATTTAATGTACAATTAACAGTTCTCGTGAAAAAACGAATTTGCAAAAATCAATTACAATTTATTTGAAATTTTACTAGCTTAATACATTCTATATGGAATTTAGATACTTCCCCTGTCTGTAGTCCATTAATACAACGATGACTTTCAAAACCAAGGATGGTTAATTCAGGGCATAAAGTTAGTTGTTACTTAGTAAAACTGCAAGTTAAATCAAACTACAAAATGAATATATATTCTGCCTATTAGTATATTGACATCATAGAAATACTTTTAAAATACGAAATAATTCCTAAATTTATAACTACAAATCAAATGTAAAAACGTGTGCGAGTCGAGCAGTGTCTGTGGTTCGTAAATTAAAAATGAAAGTATTGTCTATAGATCTCAGTCAATGCTTATTCTAATTTTAAATTTTAATGGCAGTGTATATAGACATTTAATTAAACACCCAACATTTTTATAAGTACGATTAATTGATCTGATAGCTTTTATATAATTTGAATACAANTAACTACAAATCAAATGTAAAAACGTGTGCGAGTCGAGCAGTGTCTGTGGTTCGTAAATTAAAAATGAAAGTATTGTCTATAGATCTCAGTCAATGCTTATTCTAATTTTAAATTTTAATGGCAGTGTATATAGACATTTAATTAAACACCCAACATTTTTATAAGTACGATTAATTGATCTGATAGCTTTTATATAATTTGAATACAACAATATAATAATATTAAATGGAAATTGGAATGTTTGAGAGCGCGTTCGCTGATTTGATTCAATACGGCAAAGGACAAAGCCGAAAGTGATTATAGTTCGCGATAGAAACATCAAGGTTGTATATACTTCAACAACAATAAATACCTACCTACATTTATTCTAAGCGAACTCATGCACGGAACCTTTGTCTGCAAAAATACAAATTGTCGCCTACGTCTATTGATGAAACAAATCAGCAAATTACATAAAATAGTTATACGCCAAAGCTACGTACGAAATAAAGTTAAGAAAAGAAAAAAAAAGTTAAATTGAGTTTATATAAAATTAGGTATTGAGTTAATGTAAAATTAGGGGAAAAAAATGGCTATCTTTATTTCGATTGGCAAATCGGGGTTGGAATAAGCTATGTCGTATCTTTGTTTATTGCAAATTGAACTTACCCGTTCCAATTGTTTTTTTTTTTTTTAAAACATTCCTATAATTCACTATTGTGTTGGGTAGTTATGCTATAAGACTCCTGGGCCAGATAAAACTAAAGACAATTTCAACGGATTGTTTCAATGTATTTTTAGAATGTAGTATGACGGTAATCAAACCAATGCGTGTCGTGTGAAGTTGACTGAGTACGGTTGTTGACCCCATGTTTTCCACGCGTCCATTGCGTAGTTTGCGTCCATTGCGTATTGTTATTGGGAGTGGCCCTTTTTAACTTTTTATTTAATACCTATTATCCTTTTACTTGGTAAGCACTGATTTTGCTTGGACCTAAATAAAATTAACGCATTCTATCTATGCATATCTTGAGTGGCATATTAAGGGCAGAACGGGATGTTGATACCCTTCTCTCCAAAACGATACAACATTTGTGCGAAAACTGTGATTTGGAACAGTGTACAGGAGAATTACACAAAACACTCTCAGGATCGAAATGTGAGGATTCGGCCCAGTTCTAAAGCCTAAAAAGGTAATTACATTATGTCGTTCAAAATGACAATTAGCTTTCAAAACGATCGAAAGAAACAACACTATGTAACCTCAAATAAATTTATAAGATATATACAAGGACAGGGGCTTTGTCTTTAAAAATTCAATACTTGCATGGTCAAACTCGAAAAGGTCTTATTTATTTGTCATAGATTCAGATTCAAAATGATGTTTCAGTCAAGAGAGAACCAAAATAAGCCCATCAATGAAGTTTAAAATTGATATCTCAGGTGTTTCGCTCCAAAAAGGTTCACGGGTATAATACTTTGTTAATAAATCATAAAGATTGATAGTTGTGTGTTCCACCCTCCCTCACTTGATAGTGCAGACGCTAAAATTGAATTTGTGTCAAACTTTTATATTATCTGTGGATTTTTGTAGGACATTTTTTTTTGGGTTACGTTAATTTTTGTATTGAATCAATCGATTTTGTTGATATTTTAGTGTCTGTAATTTAAGTTCACGTGAGCACTATGTAGTATTTTGCTAACATTTAATGTGTAATGAACGAATTGTTATTTTTTTATCAACGTAAGTTTAATTCAGTTATTTAAGAGTTTTTTTTTTGCGTTAAAATGTTGTCATGTAATCGATTATTCATATTCACAACCCCAATATATCGAAAAAATTAAGGAACAAAAGCAGATTCGAAAAAATGAAGCAATTCCTAAAGTGACAGTAGTAAAAGCTATTTTACAAGTGAACGTGAAAAAACTTTTATACAGTTATAATGGATAATTCCGAACGGTTTACAGATTATTATTCAAAATTCGTTGATATGCATAATTTTAAGACACCTTGTATATATTTTTTTTCCTTATCATAAGACGATACAAAATTACACTAATACTCATGTTATAATAAAATCTGTACATATTCACATCTTTATACTTAAATATACCTGGTTATGTTTAGGTTTACTTAACAGGTATAATTTTTAGTTAAAACACAAATATTACTTTACGCAAATATTTGCATGTCGGATGTAATAGAAAGATCTAGATGCTTCTAGAACGTTCTCGTTTGATTATCGATAATATACCTTGAATCTACACTTAAAATGCAAATTTTATTTGTAATATGTAATTATGTTGACGTTCCAAATCTGATGGCGTGGAAGTCACGTGAAAGATTTTTGAAAATCATCGAAGCAAGAATTGAAGTCTTAGACTTTGTACCGATTCTTGTTTTAATCGATTAATTAATTCATTCAGATAAATCGATTGCTTTAGATATACTTCTTTTTAAGTGTTAGTGTCAGTTCACGGAATCTAAATCCAAATTTAATCAATCAAGGAGAGGAATATTAAGTATTCGCGCTTCGATTCCACAAAAGACGTTAATAGGGTAAATAGTATTAAAAATGTTGGCAGAAAACCAAAAAAATCATTTTTCGTTTTATCTTATAAAATTTCCTTTATTCGCAAATTCGGAAAGTGGACGTTGTACAAAAATAATAATAATACAAACATTCGTTTGTATTTACATTAAAATAGTCAATAAGGGTAATAAACAAAAAAAAGATTAATATAAAAAAAAATTGAATGTCCTTATAATGAAAAAGCTGCGACGTCATATATTCGTAACGATGAGATGCCTCTTCAATTTTCGTATGCCTATCGAAATATGATTTGTTACTTTTCATTCTTAATCTTATACCTTTAAACGAGCAATTCTTGTATATTAATATGTATATAATCTGAATCTCGGAAACGGCTCCAACGATTTTCATAAAATTTAGTATACAGGGAATTTCGGGGGCGACAAATCGATCTAGCTACGATTTATTTTCAGAAAATTTTGTTTTATTCGTGTTTTCAATAATAAACTCTTCCCGACATCTATTGGCGAATAATAATACTATTTTTCTTAATTGAGGGCAACTAACCGCTTTAAAGACACAACAAGATGGCGTTATCAAAAAAAAATCGGTCATCGTCTAGTATTTCAAGTCATTAGACAAGCTCAGATTTACTTTTGAAATAATCACTTTTGAAAGGAATCGGGATAAAGGTTTTATTTTTAATATATTTAACGCATGGGCTTCCGATTGCTTTTGTTTTAGTGTTCACGGAGATCTTATCTTAAGCATTGTCGCACTTAAACAAACCGCAAATTTCAAAATTTTCAAATGGAAATCGTTGCGAAATTATATGTCACTAATGTTAATGTTGACATTAGTGACACTTATTTTTATTAATATAAGTTGAACTGAGGACTTTTATATTAGCTCTTATTGTTAGTTTTCCAAAAGAAATTTCCAAGTATGAGCGTTAGTGAATTTAAACAATTATTCAATAAGAAATAACACTTCTTTAATGTCACTAAAGTTAAGGAAAGGAAAATATTAAAAAAAAATGTTCATCTCATTTCCATTGTTATGACTTGAACTTAGGGCTTAATTTCATTAAATACAGAAAATGTGAGAGGCATCCATCGAACGGTGTTATACACTTAAATAACATAAATGGCACTAAACATACTAAGCGCTGTTGCACTAAACAACTCCGATTTGAATTATTACGTTTCATAAATAAAATCATTTAGCTGTCACAGTACAAAAATAATATATTTATATATTTTAAACACGAAATTAGCATTAAACTTGTCGACATACCTTACATTTATTATAATAAAAATTTACGTACAAGAAATAATTTAGGCGTATCTAAAACGATGCCTAAAACAACGTTTTCGAATCAGTCGTTTTTTTTTTTGTTTCTTAAAAAAACTTATTTAAATCAGCTACGACTTTACAAACCTAGTGCGGTACCACAGGTTTAGTGACACCCCGCTTATTAATGGACTTAGAGTTGGGAAAGATAATTGTCGACAACTATCGATAAACTTATACCGTGCCTAAATTGTCGAAAGTGGAATGAAATATTTGTTTTTTTTTTCTTTCTTATATGGGAGGACGATCTTAAGGCTTATCTAGAATTAAGTGGTAGAGCCCATAGACATCGGCAACGTAAATGCCGCCATCCACCTTGAAACTTAAGTCTGGGTTTTTACGAGTGCCTCATCTGTCAAACCGAAACGCATTACTGCTTGGCAGAAATAGATAGGGCAGTGGTGCCTATCCGTGCGGGCTCACAAGGCGCCCTACCACCAGTAAAAGCTTCGTCAATCTAATTCCTAATCATACACCACACACGTATTAGGTATAGTAATACTAAATCGGATCAAAGTTTATCGAGGGCCGTGAACAATCCATGTTCGACAGTGTCAATTCAACCCTTAAAAAAGTCCATAGTAAAAAATGCAAGTTTCTTAACAAATTTCTTCTGATTTATAATTTGCAAATAATTCTCAGTCACACGTAAAATGTACAAACTTATAATCGCATACATATTTCTCGAACGTTTGGGCCAAAATATAAATTGGACGGGTAGCAGAATGATTTTTAAAATATTATATTTAAAAAAAAAAGCACATAAACTCAACTAAGTACATCAGATATCTATTTACTTATCCTTTCATAGATAATTCTCGCATTAATTAATGTTTTTTATCGCCTACCCTCAAAATTTAACTCAAGACAAAAATCTCAGTAAATGCGTTAACTGACTCATTTTTTTTTAAATTTGCCTTGTGTTCATAATTAATTAATGTGACAAATATCTATAAATAGTTCACACGAGAAATTTTACGTCTGATTTATGGTCTAAATTAGAGAGAAAACTCTCGAATTATTGGACAAGTTCATGTCGCGCACGGAACATTTCAAACACTCACAACGTCACTAAAGCGCACAGTTCAATGCGGTTATTTACGAAAAAGAAACAAAACGATAGAGACTGACTACACGGAATGCATCAGTGGCTTAAAGCGAACCACGAATGTTTAAAATCATTTGAACAACTATCACAGGCCCTTTAAACAATTCCTATTCAAAAATTCAAACGGTGGGGTCCATAATGTCACACGAGCATCGACGAGGAACACGACCCGTCGAAATCGAAACGCGGTTAAGCGGTAAGGCATCTTGAAGCTTGGCATTAAATCGCAATTTAGTCGCGTTTTCGCGTCCACCAAGTACTGACACTGGGCGTTTTCGCCCTTAAATCCAAGTCACATAGGGGTGATGTTTGTCTGGCTACACGAGCCAAGCGTGGCGCTAGCACCACGACTCCTCGTGCGGTTGTCTCTCGTCGTCGGAGTCGCCGTACATGTCGGCCAGCTTGCGGAATCGAGGACCGAATGTCGATAGGTAGTTGAATTTCAGATCTTCGTCGTCGGTACCTAGATTAGAATTGGAAATATTAGAGGTCTTAAATAAAACCCTGTAAAAGAATAGTAGAACCTGTAGAAGAAGGACTTTTTGGCGGGAACGCGAGGAGTGAAGTTGTGTGATTTGTTTTGTTCTGTCTATTTAGTGTTTCTTCAGGTTTAAATGTGTAATAACGGTGGTTTATTAACTGTTTAGTATCCGTGAAAGTGCCCAAATGTGGGAAAATGAAACAAAGCCGCTGGACGTAACTTCTCGGGATTCTCCAAAAAGTCCACTGAAAAAATCTCAGTAAATAACCACCATTTTACTGAGAATATTTCATCCCATATCATCTCATCTCATTTCATTTAATTTTTCCCAGTTGATTAATGTCTCAAATTAACCATCTTCATTTCATTTCATTTCATTTCACTCCATATTATCATTTCTCATAAAAATAAAAAATAAAATTAACATAAGACATGACTTGAAGGTCTTAGTTACCAGGTCATAAAATCTGTTTCTCTCTCAGGCAGTGTGGATGGCGTTGTTGATGATGTATGATATTGTGTTTTCTCTAGCTATTCTAGTAACCTAGAGGGGTTATACTAGATTCACCGAGCGAGCAGACGAGCTTGCTCTAGTGTAACCTTAACCTAATGAATTTGCTAACCTAGTCCTAGCAAGAGCAGTGCCTCGCAGAATCTACCACCGAATCGGAAACGCGACCCACTGAGAAGATCCGACGAGAAACTCAGTGGGCTGTGTCTGATGATGGTTTAAATACATCCATACTCACAGCTGGCCAACGAAGACAAGGACCCGCTGGTGTTGCCGTCACCTTCGTACGCGTAGTGTCTGACGTCATCGTAAGGAATGATGTCCGGATCGCGATCCAACACCGACTTCTTATCGTCCAGGAACCCTGATATGTCCGGTGTCGTCTCTAATAGTAGCCCTGAGAAATGTTTGGTGTTAGTTCTAAATCACCGGGAATATGGTGCATTATTGATTAGCAGCACTGGAATAGCTCCATCTCACCTTTTCCGTGGATATTGTAAAGGACGACAAGGAGATTAAATGGAGAATCGGGAAAAACGATCGACAACTGGCATTTACTAAGGGTATACCACTATTATGTGTGTATCTGCTAAGCAATTGTGGTTTAAGGGTGGCCATTATGGTGGCAGTCACGCTGTGATGTCTATTAGATTCGGTAACCACTTCACACCAGGTGTTCTACGATCACGTTAGTATATGTACCAAATAAAAAACTAAACATCGATTTATGAACTGCCAAAATATTCTAATGCTTTAGTGTTGAAGAGCACCTGCTCTGCTCACATTGTTCCCAAGAACCGTTACAACATACTCTATGGGAAGGTCTATATTCTACGCGGAAATCAACAAAGCAAATGCTAGTTCATTTGTTGTTTCTCAAATGATTAATTTCAAAAGCTGCGCATCATTTTGCGAAAGTAATGTGAAATCGTAGCGCCACTGTTCTTTAGGAGTTTTCCTCCTTCCTCCAAAAGTCGCAAGCCGCGATTTCGGGTCTATATGAGATATTTATCAATAACTAGCTGTACCCGTCCGCTTCGCTGGGCATTTAAAATTAACATTATCATTTCTCACCCCCACAAAGATTCTCATCATTAAGCCCTCCGCAATTGGTGTAGGTAGTCCAACACTCATATAAATATTAGCCTATCCATTAAGTACATATATTTTCTACATGGATACCAAGTTTCAAGTCAATCGGATGCATGGTTCAGTAGTTATAACGGAACATCGTAAAAACCACTGATTTATATATTAGTATAGATTCCACTGTAGAAGATTTGGGAAATTCGTTTATTCATGTATTTGAGTGTACTGATACATCTTAGTGAAGGAAAATCCTGCTGCAAAAACGCTGTTCTATATTATGATTAAAAAAAAAGAAGGTTTTATTCCACTTACTTCTTTGTTGGTAAGCGCCAGTATCTGGGGGCGGTCCGTCGTACATTTGTCTGAGGACATGCAGGTCGTATCCGGCGTCTCCTTCGCCGCCGCCCTCGTCTTCGTAGGCGATGATGTTCTCCCTTATATCGTCCAATTCCTTCTCCGCCCACGCGTCGGCGCGACGCCGGTGTACCACTACCGCTAACAGCAAAACTGTATGACGAAATGTGATTAGATTTGCAAATCTAAACTGGTGTTTGGATGAGGCGGTTGAAGGAAATATGTTTTCAGACCGCTGCGAATTGATACAACCCTATTATGGAGGCTATTTGGCTGACAGCCCTAACCAAGCTGCACGATCAGCATTCCCGAGTCCTCTTGTTCTGTCCGCCCCGCGAACGGACAGTCTTCTCCTATCATCCGACCTGAGCGGTTGACTCTCAACTCTGAATCAATGCGCGTGACTATCATTGGACCTTCATAAATTAGTATTTAATTTTTTGAAACCTAAATGGCCAAACCCGCTATAATAGAACGAAGAAGACTAAGCACGGTAATGTTTGACGCCAGCTGAAATACAAAGAAAGGCGGCAAGATCATAAGTTTCCACGTTACACTCAGACATATTTTATTGCCTTGTTAAGGCTCTTGGTGCCAAAACATTAAATAAAGAAAGACCATGGAGGAGTTTTCGATCCATATCCATACAAAACGTACTGTGAATGAAACGCAAATATGGACTCTCATTTAAAGACTTTTACCGAGATATTTTTATAAGCAAACACGTTTTCATACTTACTGACTAAAATAGCGATGCACACCAATATGGCTACTAGGAAGTTGGCGTCTATTCCGAATGTGACAGCCGTGAACATGCTTCTCTGACAGCTTGGATCGGCGTTCTTGTGCATAGACGGCTGGCCAAGATTGTACATCTGTGTTTGAAAAATCAATATGAATCATGAGCTAGGTTCATCGAACTTACTATCAACATAATGGCTAAATATTGCCTAATGGGTTATGCGTTGCATAAGAGACAATAAGGACGATAAAAAAAATAAACAAAAATTAAGTGTTCGTTCTAAAGCAAAAAAGTTATAGATTCCTTTAATTTAATGGTAGAAAAATAATACATAAATACGTAATGAATATATACATAACTAGCTGTAGCCGCCCGCTTCGCAAGGCATTTAAAATTAACATTATTATTTCTCACCCCCACAAAGATTCTCATCATTAAGCCCTCCGCAATTGGTATAGGGAGTCCAACACTGATGTAAATATTAGCCTACCCCTTAGGTACATGTATTTTCTACATGGATACCAAGATTCAAGTCAATCGGATGCATGGTTCAGTAGTTATAACGGAACATCCGTAAAAAGCACTGTAGTTTTATATATTAGTATAGATACATAAAAACCTCATTGTACAAATCGGCTATTCAAATACTGAATTTGCTAAGTGAAAGACAAAATATAAGAAACATTATTAATGTAAATAAAAAAATATTTAACGGTTTTCAATTATTTAAATTTTTTTATAGGAAAATTTTATGAGTAACTTATATAGAAGTAAGGAATTAATATTTTAGAGGTGCACGCATCCTTATCGATCGCCCGTACTTAAAAGGCAATGACGTTGTCAATCGACATAGACAATCTTTACCATCTGCAAACTTACACAACTAAATTTAGTTAATGAGCTCAGAGACAATTTATTCGTTATTAAGTAGGCCATACTCTAATTTACGCTATACATGTAAAGGTCCTAGATTTGCTCTTGAGTACTAAATTCTTAACACAAAGATCTGAAGTCGAATCCGGACTTACAAGTATTTTTTTTTTTTTATTGCATAGATGGGTGGACGAGCTCACAGCGCACCTGGTGTTAAGTGGTTACTGGAGCCCTTAGACATCTACAACGTAAATGCGCCACCCATCTTAAGATATAAGTTCTAAGATCTCAGTATAGTTACAACGGCTGCTCCACCCTTCACACCGAAACGCATTACTGCTTCACGGCAGAAACAGGCAGGGCGGTGGTACCCACCCGTGCGGACTGACAAGAGGTCCTACCACCAGTTAGACATAAATAATAAATACAGTAAAGATTACTTGTGTAATGATTCGGAACTACACGACGAAGAGTATTAAAATCACACTTACAAAATCATTGTACGTGAAATTGCTTATGCATCCGATGAAGTTCTGGTTAGTCGGGACCATGGACCAGCCGAACGATTGAGCCAACGCTTCCAGATCGATGCTAGCTCCGCCGAGTTGTAAGGGACCGTTGACTGTTAGGAAAAAAAAACGATTCATTAAAACCAATTTGTTGAGAAAAACACCGTAAGAACTGGAGGTAAAGGACTTGGATGGACTGTATATATGGGAGAGAAGGGTGTGAGTGCAGAGATGATGTATGATAAGCCTGAAAGGAAAACGAGGTCCCCACATAAGGAGTTCAAGGTATGAAGAAGAAGAAAGAAGGACTTGCAATATCTGAACGAACTGAAGCTATAGAGGGTCTTACCCAAGTAAACCCAAGGACTTCTTGTCCGTATGCCATTACGATTGTTCGCGTTAATAGCGGAGCAAATTCGAATGTGATTGTAACAAGAGATGATGAAAGTATAATTTTTGCATTTTTTTTTAGATTAGCAATCGTTTTTTTTGGTGGCACTACTGCCAGCATCGAGTTTTTAAAAATCTTACATAATTTTTTTTTTTTTAACCACACGTCACATTAACTGGTCCCCTACTTAGTTCGTAAAGAACTTATGTTACAGGTACCAGATAACGGAAGATTTTTATTATACACATACATATATTTAATATACATCCATAATCCTGGAAAATACATTTTATATTGATCATACAAAATACATTTCCTTGGCGGGATTCGAACCCGCGATCCCCTTGTGTAGTGACCATGTCACTTACCACTACACCAGACGATTATTATTTACGTACTAGCTGTACTACATACACTACTGTGTTAAAATGTATTTGTTTAAAATCGTTATCAATTGGAATGATGAAACGAAATAAAGTCCAAGGAAAATTATGTGAATTTATTGAGACTTTAGTGGAGTTTTTAAAGGAACCCGTAGAGTCAGCGTTGTAGTTTATTCCACACTCGTACACTTTAAAAGATTTTAAGCGAATAGGGTCCACACACGTTAATACACGAAGAGGACAAACAGAAAATCACCACCGATATCTCGTCGATTACTTCAAACAAAAGTGTTATTTTTTTGTTGCTTATATGGGTGGAAGAGCTCATAGACCACCTGGTGTTAAGTGGTTACTGGAGCCCATAGACATCTATAGCGTAAATGCGCCACCCACCTTGAGATAAACGCATGCTTCACGCCCGAAATAGACAAGGTGGTGGTATCTACCCGCGTCGACTCACACCAGGTCCTACCACCAGTAGCAGTGTTAGCTCGAACGGTAGAGGGGTCATTAGTATCGGTTTAAATAAGATTTTCAACTCACCATTAAGTATTTCGTTGGGCCTTATAGGAGCCGACAGACTCATACAGGTGGACAGTTTGCAACGATCCACAAACATCTCGATCGAGTTCCTTGTGAGCACTATTTCTATTAAATGAGGTTTTCCGTCGGCCACCTCCACGACAGTGTTGTTTAGTCGCGTTATACCCGAGCCGTAGTTCACGAGCAGCAGCAGATGACCATCCTTCAGCTCCAAAGACATGAAGTCTGTTAACAACATTAATTGTTTAAAATAAATAATAGTTTAAATAAAAAAAACTAGGTAACAAAATACGCTTTTATAGAGAATCCAACTAAAAAATTGAAAATAAATTTGAATTAAAAATTGTGTAAGAAAAAATGATTTTACTGTAAAAATGCGTGGGGTGCCTTTCAGGATATTATCAAAATAACCTTTCTACTTATATATGTTCATAAAATATTTATAACAGTAACCCCACTTAGTTTTTTTAAACTATTATTTCTTTTTCATTTTTTAGTTGAGTTTCAATTTTTTCAATATATATTTTTCACATATTTTTTTTTAATATTGAATTGTCATCGTTCCTTAATAAGTATACCAAATTTCGAGTCAATCCGACGTTTTGAAGGCTCAAAATCATGTTCAAAGATTCCGTTACAAACATACATACGCCTGAAGCTAATAAAAGCGTATTTAAAAAAATACATTCGTTTTTTAAGCAGTTTTTAAAGTCAATCTCAATATTAGGGGCATAAGATCGCATTTTCAAGTTCAAATCTGTTTTGAAAAGTTCTATGTATCTAATCAGATTTAGAATAATATTGACGATATAAGGTATGAAGAATAATCGAACTTAAGTCACTAAATATACAGTTACTTTCTTATTGTTATATTTTATAATTATTATTGTTGTAAATTTTTTTTTCTCCATTATTCGCTTTTGTTTAATTGATAAAATTATTTAATTATGATATTTATTAACATTACCTTTAAACGTTTCGCAAAATAGAAATTTAATTGGAGAATTGGTTTATTGTCGTCATTTTTGTATTGCTTAAATTCAATTGATGTTTTCTGAATAAGTAAATTGAGGGAGTGTCATAGATTAGCTCAGATTTTCTGAGATATTAATCTATATCTTATACTTAGTAATTTTTTTTATTGCTTTTGTAAGCAGACGAGCATACGGCCCACCTGATGGTGAGTGGTTACCGTCGCCCATGGACTTCAGCAATGCCAGGGGCAGAGCCAAGCCGCTGCCTACAAGTGCCTTAAAGTCGTCGTGGCCTAAAGGACAAGACGTCCGGTGCAATTGTATCTAGCGATGCAAGAGTGTTCGAATCCCGCAGGCTGGTACCAATTTTTCTAATAAAATACGTACTTGACGCATTTCACGAAAGATTTCCGACACAGTGAAAGAATGACGTCGTGTAATAAAAATCACTCCCGCAAAAATTTTAATTGCGTGATTACCTACTATGATTACAAGTGAGACAGAAAACATAAACCTCAAAGTTTTGACGGGATTCATGTCGTGATAGCTATGACCTCCAAAAACTACTTAACACCAAATGAACTGTAAGTTCGTTCAGCCAAATATTCAATTATAAAAGTTGTAGCGAATAAAAGCGAAAGCTTCGTTAAATATTTGTTTGTTATTATTAAAAGGTTCAACGAATATTAATTTCTAGGAATCGAAACTAAGCGCCTAAAGTAAATGAGAATTTGTTTACATTAAATATTTAGGCATTCGCTGTAAACATAGGAAACTGCTCGGTGTTTTTATTTGTACTAGTGGTCCCGCAGTTTTTGTTTTATTGCCTTTGTAGGCAGACGAGCATACGGCCCACCTGATGGTGAGTGGTTACCGTCGCCCATGGACTTCAGCAATGCCAATGGCAGAGCCAAGCCGCTGCCTACAAAAGTAGTCGAAATTCGACTATAATTAATTTAAATTATAAGTTTGTGCACTATGAAGATTATATTGTCAAAGACTATATATTACTTCTATTTTTTTTGTGTTTTTTTTTATAGCTTGGATAGGTGGGCTCACAGCCCACCTGGTGATAAGTGGTTACTGGACCCCATAGACATCTACAACGTAAATGCGCCATCCACCTTGAGATATAAGTTCTAAGGTCTCAAGTATTGTTACAACGGCTGCCCCACCTTTCAAGCCGAAACGCATTACTGCTTCATGGCAGAAATAAGCAGAGTGGTGGTACCTACCCGTGCGGACTCACAAGATATCCTACCACCAATAATTACGCAAATTGTCAAAAGTCACTATTGACTCTTGTGAGTTTTGACAAATATTAATAAAGACAAACAACATTTAATCTATTCTCAATTTGACCACAGACTATAAGTAATAAGAAAAGTTTGACAATAAACAAATAGTATGCATGCGTGGTGTGTCAAATACATAGTAGTGTGTGTAACGTTTTTTTATTGATTCAATGTATTTTTATGCATAATTTAAAAAAATATTAACATTCTGCACTCCTTCTCTATATTCTCTATAAGTGTGGAAAATTTCATACTTCCGCACGAACAATTTTCGTAAAAAGGGTACAAAGTTTTTGCTTCGCGTATTAATATATAGAGTGCTACAACGAGTCACGGAAATTTATTTTGAGTGACGGGCCGATATAAAGAATTAAATGATAAAACAATAAAAAATTAAGGCTCCGCACTAACTATACGAAAAAACATACAAGTTCAACAACAGAAATTGTATTTCAGATGTCATCCATTACATGTTTGGCGTTTACCAAAAAACAAGAATTTTCAATTATGCCATTTCCATTCTAAAGCTGCGATATGTTATTAGCGTGCATGTTATAAGTTATTTTAATTGAATGTAGTCTCAGAAGCTTTCAGTATTAGTCGTTTTTTACATTGCTCGTGGTCGAAGATTCGATAAAGCGGCACGACATGAGAACCCTCTCATGTTTTCATGTTTTTTTTTTTACTCCTTGCAGACTTGACATACCCCGCGCGCCCCCTAGACGCAGTGACCTCGTAAGAGGTTCGGCGGCCGGTAAAAAAAAAAAACAGTCGATCCTGCGGACCAAATGGTAAACAGTCAACGTCGCCCAAAACACATCATTTCGGATCCTCCCGATTCACTAACGGTGCTTTTACCCCAAGCACCGGTCACCATTCTCGTTGAAACCGTCGCTTGCGACGAAGGGCTCGGCGAGTGAATTAACCCACAGACATAACCCACTGAATTTCTCGCCGGATTTCTCAGTGGGTCGTGATTCCGATCTGGTGGTTGATTCTTCGAAGCACCACTCTTGCTAGGGTTCGCGTTAGCGACATCATCAGGTTTAAGCCCCGTGAGATCACCTACTAGTTATGGTAGTCTGATATGGTCTCTCTAGACCATCAGCTTAGATAAAAAAGACTACTATTAATGGTAAGTGGTTAATGTTGCTTACGGGTTGGCATTGCATGGGGCGTCCCGAGACGCACCTAAGTATCTTAGTTTTTTTTGAACATATCTCCAAATTTGACATACATATTAAAGTACTATTAAGTAATGATATTAAATAGATAAATCCAATATAAACATGCTAAATTCACTATACATCAAAACTCAATTTAACTCAATGTATTCGAAATTAATTTGGATAAACTCACATTTTCGGCTCGCGGTAACAAAGATCACGCAACCAAATTAAGTCCTCGTCTTGGGAATACGTAGAAAAATGATCAGGTAAACTCCTAACAAATGACGTCACGTTAGCCGTGCGTGTCGCGACCTAAAGCTTGTCAGCCGAAATAATTACGTAATATCGGAAAATGACGTTCCATGTTGTACAGGGGGTTACCTATCACGCGATGGTGATACATAAATCACACTTCAGGCACGTCACTCATTAATGGCACCATTAAAAAATCATTACACGGCTTAGTGAAATTAGTGACGGCGAGTTTAGTAACTCGTAGAGAGAATTTATGTGACGGGTATTTAAAAAAAAAACATCAGCCTATGTGATTACAATTATAACGGTCTTTGATTGTTAAATCAGTTTTGCGTGATTCTCGAAGAAATAATAATAACTTGGAACAAATCCCGCACGCTTATCCGACTCCAAATTAAGATTCCCTGTGTTATGGGCACTAGAGGCTGGCATATATGTTTAAATAAACACATGTATACATAATAAATACGCAGACGAAGATTGTTCATCACGATTGTTGTCTGATGTGGGAATCGAATCCATAACCCTCGGTGCACCAGTGAGAACATCTGACTACAGCAACACCCAATTAGTAATAACAATAAAACAAGTTTTTCAACGCACAAACGTACTTCGCTTACGATTTTATAGTAAGAAATTATACAGCACCAGTAGACTGACAAAACGACCCTTAAATATTACTAGAGGATGACCAAGCTTGGCTCGGTTTTTTTTTTTGATAACGCCATCTTGTTGTGTTTTTAAAGCGGTTAGTTGCCCTCAATTAAGAAAAATAGCATTATTATTCGCCAATAGATGTCGGGAAGAGTTTATTATTGAAAACACGAATAAAACAACATTTTCTGAAAATAAATCGTAACTAGATCGATGTATCGCCCCCGAAATCCCCTGTATAATAAATTTTATAAAAATCGTTGAAGCCGTTTCCGAGATTCAGATTATATACATATATATTAATGTACAAGAATTGCTCGTTTAAAGGTATATAAGATCAAATAATATTTTTCTTTAAACCAGAATACTTGTAATTAAATAAAAGCCATCCTTTAGTTAAGAAAATCAATCGTTTTTGATAAACGTAATGTGAAATTTCGAACACCCTGTAAATCGAATTATGTATGAACACACGATATAGAGATGCGATTTTTTTTTATTGCCCTAGTACTATTATAGTCGCTCATGGACATTAACAATGCAAGGGGCAGAGCCAAGCTGATGCCTAGTGTTAAGTATAATATTTTCCAAGCAACTTCATAATAATTACTAACTAGTGATCTCCCAGTAGTCGAAACTCGACTATAATTAATTGAAAAATTATATTTAAACATTATTATGGTTCTATTGTCAAAGACTATTTATTGTACTTCAATAAAAACAGATTTCATCAAGACTACATTGGAGACATATTTTTTAATATTAAAGACAAACAATATAATCTATTCTCAATTTAACCACAGACTATAAACAAAAACAAATAACAAAAGTTTGACAGCAAACAAAGAATAAATGTGTTGTGTCAAATACATGGTAGTGTGTATAGATAGTAACACAAACTAAAGTAGTGTGTGTAACGTTTTTTAAATTGATTAATAATATTTTTAATGCATATTGAGTAAAAAAAATATTAGCATTCTGCACCCCTTCTCTGTATTCTCAATGACTGTAGCCAATTTTATGCTCCTCCGTCCGCGCAATTTTCGTAAAAAGAGGTACAAGGTTTTAGCTTCACGTATTAATATTCAGATGTATGTATGTATTGTAACTATTTTAATGGAAGTAAAAATTCAAAATTCGTATCAAGATCCCGTGTATTACTACCATGAAGACCTACATCGTGTTTTTAAGGGTTAGTTAGATTAAAAAAGACTAGTTAGTCTAAAACTGAGATTTCTAACAGTCCCGATTCGTAGGGTTATCTCAGCCCCGTTGAAACGATATTACTTAAAACGAATGAAATTATCACAAATACTAAAGAATACCACTTATTTTAATCCGTGTGTAATTTTAATGATTGTCATTGAAAACTGTTTCGAATCCTTATACATCACGATGTTCATAATAAATTAATTATGACCAGTTGCGTAAAAGTTCACGTAGTGAAACAAAATATTGCAACATTTTTATTCTTCGTTCGACCCAAATAAAAATAAAAACGACATTCCCCGCTCGGAATAAGGGTCTATTGTGAGTTTCGTCAGGAAATCATTATTCAAGTTGTTACGCCAATTCACAGTGACATATTCATTGCTGGCAACATTGACGTTGCCGGGAAGTCGAATACTAGTTAGCTGGCAACACTGTTCGTTTAATGAACCTACCTCAAACGAACTTAAGTCGTGATGTAATAACAAAAAGAAGAGTATTTTGAATGGAAAATGTTCAAATTGTTGCACACAACTGCATCTAAGGCGATGCGTTGAGGAAAAATTCGGGGAAACATTTGCTATTCATATGATATTTTTTACAATGCTGAAATAATAAATCATATTCTGGTTTGATTCTTACGTTATAAGCATTCTCATAATTTACTATCTCATAGGTGAAGTATTCTATAAAAACACCAATAGAGCCGTAGTTATTGAACATAAAATCAACAATAAAATATATTGGAGGCTAATCGAAAATTTTACACTCGAAGTATTTTCTCTACAGATAATAAGCCAAGCCAAGAGCAAAGTAAATAAAAAAACCAAAAAGTCAACAGTGAAACTGCGAAATTCCACAGTATATAAGTCTACTTATCCGGATTGGCAATTTGGCAGTGCCCAAAGCAATATTGGCTAAGCCAACAAAAATACAGTTGAGATAATTTGAAGAGATTTTTACAACCTTCACTTGTTTTACTGCTAGTTTTATAGTCTAGTCCTAGTTTATTGACAAGACAACATACTTTCGGTTCTAATTTGGAAAATTCGAAGTTTCATAGTTTATATAAATATCGTTCATTGATTATAACTAAGTTTTATTACATTTTTAGATATACACATTTCACGAAGAAAACATTGACTCTCGGAGGGTCAATAGTAAGCGCTCCTGATTATTGGGCCGTGGGTCTTAGGATCGATTCCACATCGGGCAAACATAGCAACTTTATTAGCTCCATGACTAAAAGTTTAATATTATAATAAAATATAATGATTCAACAACCCTATCAAAAGCGTGTACTTTTATATTACAGTATTTATATATACATTTTTTATTTGTTATTTCTCGATGTATAAGAACTGGAAGGAGAAAGCCCTGAACAGTGCAGTCTGGAGAGACATACTGGACCAGGCTAAGGCCCACCCTGGGCTGTAAGGCCTAAGATGATGATGATGATGATGATGTATAACATGGATTCTGTAGATATCAACTTCTGTAGATATTGTTGATCACTGCAAAATCCCTGCTCGAATTGGATTCAATTACTTATAATGTAAATTTCATATTCTAGAACTTTCTTTACTCACCTTGAACGTTCAACAACGGATTGTGCTTCAGAGGCCCCATGTAAAAGACAAGACTATTTTTGGAATGTGAGGTCACGGTCAGGGTGACCCTGCCCTCGTGGCACGCGGGAGGCGGTGCATACATGGCCCACCCGTCGCCATGGAAACCGATCGATGTCTGCTCACAATGAGGTCCGTTCAGACCTTCGGGGCACTCGCACTTGTCCGCAAAAGCAGTACCTGTTAACGATTAAATAATAATAATAATAATAATAAATAGAAATTAACCTTATAATTTATTTTGTAAGCCTTTGAAAGAGCTGAAGTCTGTACTAGGTTCAAATACCTGTATTACTGATCTCCAGGCTTCCTCCTTATTAAGATACATTAGGTTAGGTTAAGTCGTGAACAGATGCTGCTGACTAGTGTTGAGAGATCATTAGGTGTTATCATTTATGAAGGTCATTATGCGCGTGTGTGTGTGTGTGTGTATGTGTGTGTGAATGTGTGTATGTGGTTGATAATGTGATTGAATGATTAATAATGTGATTGATCTTCAATTGCTCCTCATTGATATTCAATATTATTATTCAATATTGTCTCTTTCTCGCGTTGTTCCCTTATTACTGAGGGTCGTGACCATCATGTTTAAACAGGATTTAATTTTTTGTTATGTTTTTCCAGTATTTCTGATCACTGACCGCGTGAAGGTTTTTTTTAATATTATAGTAGATTTAAATTTGTTTTACACGCCCTTAATATTCATGGTATGTATCTCAAATTGCAACTTAGCGTAGTGCAGAATTTTTTGCAAGAAATTTTCAATTTTATGTCTAACCGCGTATGGATTGATTTAGATGCGCTAACTGTTCAAATACTACATTATTAAACTTACCTCCGTTTAAGCAAATCAGTGGCTCCTGTACATCACACGTGCACTCGGATTCGACCCTCGCGGAGACTCCAACGAAGCTAGTTGTGTTGGTATACACGGAAAGCGGTACGTTATTCTTTATGAGCACATTACGGCATGAGTCCTCGCATTGCTCCTTCTCAATCAGACACTCATCGATGTGCACCATGTATATTCTTGATTGGAGTTCTTCTTCCAGCTAAAAAAAATTATTAGTATTGCACTGTCCTATGAAAACATCACCGTTGGACACAGTTTTCAATGGGGGGTTTTTTTTGCATTAATCCCACGACCAATTTCATATTAAGGGGTTATAGCAGCGGTCGGGGAACCGGGGTAAATTACCTCAAATGGGGTAAAATGAAATTTGGGGGGGGGAGGGGGGGGGGGGGTAAAAATGAAACTTTTGTGAGTAAAAAATATATATTGAAGTGAAACTTCTTTAGAATCGTTGTGATTTCAAACTCGATAAAACGAAATGAAACGAAACGAAAAATAATATATTTATTTACACAAAAATATTTTGAGGTAATAATTGAAAAAGTTCCCCGACCGCTGGATTATAGGAACCCACGCGCCATCTACTGTGATAGATGGGTCACAATTATATTGTGTAATAACTGTGTCAGCCATCGAACCAGTTTCGCGGCAGAAATAGGCAGCAATGTGGTACCTACCCGTACGGAAACACAATATACCCTGTCACCAGGATTATAATGACAATGGTTTATATAATTATGCAGCAGGTATGATCTCCAGCTTTCCCAACTTAATAGCCCTATAGGTAGTACGGTTTTCAAGCCGCACGAATTCCTATTAGCGAAACAACTATTCGATCAGGTATGATGGATATCACAACTGTCGTACCAAAGTAATTAAAACTTTAATCTACTCTTGAGGGCTTTCATGAAGTAATATTTCCTAGCTTTAGTAATACTACACGCAAATTTATCACTCAAAAAATAAAATTTAAAAGAAAAAGTGAAGAAAAATAAAAAAGTATCAGGGTATTAGGCCGAAGTTATAAAATCATTGTATCGTCATCGACAAATTTTCATGTTAATCTAACGCTTTGGAGTCAATGCAAATCAGGTTAATAAATTCCGTTACATGGTTAGGTACGGACCTAACAAGAGCGTTAATTAAGATAACAAGCTGTATTACAAAATAATGTTACCAAATTACTTAAATTTGAACTGGTTTTGGCCCAAAATTTATTCGTTCAAAATCCCCTTCCCAAAACAATAGCGTCATAGAATTTACTTTGACCATCGTTCGCAGCTCAAAAATCTCTAAAAGACTTGCGATTTTTTGAACTGCGTCGACGAAGTCAGCGTACCTTCTCCTGTATCCCAACCGCCATGCTGTCAAGTTTCTCTGGTGAGTAGTAAGGCGAGCCGTGAGCCGAGAACCTCACATCCAAAAACATGTCTTTCACAGTCGGCTTGCTGAATACCGTGAAGACGTCTACGTTGTCCAAGGAAGTGTTGTACAGCTGTGCTAGACGACGATGGAGCTTATCCTTTTTACTGGTACCCTACAAAACGAATAAAATACATTAATGCTTTCACCCCTCAATGTTTTGGCGACAGGTTGCTAAACATAAGCATTACATTGCGTACAAATTTTAAAGATAGCATGTACCGATTTTTGTACGTTAATTCATGTTTCTAAGTGAATCTATCTGATCGTTCGTAATTGAATTGTCTTTTTCAGTTTAATTCCATGCTTATTACTTATTTGTCCCTACTAGAGGTCCCGCAGTAGTCGAAATTCGACTATAATTAATTGGAATTGTAAATTTGTACACTATTATGATTGTATTTTATACTTTTTCACAAATTTCGCCAAGGCTACTCTATAAAAAAATATTAATAAAGACAAACAATATTTAATCTATTCTCAATTTGACCACAGACGTCAAGAACAAAAGTTTGACAATAAATAGTATGCATGCGTGTGTGCGTCAAATACATGGTATGTAGTGTGTGTAATGTTTTCTTTATTAATTTAATGTATCTTTTATGCATTATTTTAAAAAAATATTATCATTGTGCACTTCTTCTCTATATTCTCTATAAGTGTGGAAAATTTTATACTCCTCCGTCCGCGCAATTTTCGTAAAAAGGGATACAAAGTTTTTGCTTCACGTATTAATATATAGATTTCTACGATTAACAGTAAACCAAAAGAAAAAAAAATTGACGGTTGTTAGCACAATATTAAAATGTCGACGAATAACAGCTTAGTCCACTGTTATCACGAAAGCTTTTAAGAATTCTAAGCGACCAAAAGTAATATAATAAAAATACCAAACGCGAGATTCGAGCGAAAAAGTAGTTTTAATTATACCAAGGACTCGCGACAAACTAAGAGAGCACTGATTGTTCAGTTTATCAAATTTGGACACGGAATAACAATCTTTTTTTTTATCGCCCCAGTATGCAAACGAGCATACGGCCGGCCTGGTGGTGAGTGGTCGCTTATTGACGTCAGCAACGCCAGGAATACAGCCAAGCTGCTATCTACCGCTATATCTTCTCCATAAGCCACGTTTAAAGAAGGACATGTCATAGCGCTCAGGAAACATCGCAAAGGGGAGTTATTTTTTTTATTTTATTTTTATTGCTTAGATGGGTGGACGAGCACACAGCCCACCTGGTGATAAGTGGTAACTGGAGCCCATAGACAACTACAACGTAAATGCGCCACCCATCTTGAGATATAAGTTCTAAGATCTGAGTATAGTTACAAAGGCTGCCCTACCCTTCAGACCGAAACGCATTACTGCTTCATGGTAGAAATAGGTAAGGCGGTGATACCTACCCGCGCGGACTCACAAGAGGTCTTACCACCAGTAATTACGCAAATTATAATTTTGCGGGTTTGATCTTTATTACACGATGTTATTCCTTCACCGTGGAAGTCAATCGTGAACATTTGTTAAGTACGTGTTTCATTAGAAAAATTGTTACCCGCCTGGGATTAAAGCTTCGGTGCATTGCTCAACACGAATGCACCGGACGCCTTATCCTTTAGGCCACAACGCTATCTTAATTCCAATAACTCCCATTTCTTTTCAAATCTCGTCTATACCCAATATAATTTAATCCTACACGAAATTCGCGAGGTTCTCACACCAAAAGTGAAGCTTCATTTACCCCCTTCACAGTTTTGGTATGACCAATTACATCACGTTCCCTCGTTAGTAGTTGAATGGATCTCTGGATGTAGTGTCAGCTTAATTTGGGCCAAGGTCGCTTGGATACAGACCTCTTTATGTTTGGTCTGAATTAAAGTCTAGTTAGCCGTCTTAATTGTTCGGATCATGAATGACTCGTTACAAGCATTGAGTTTCAAAATTTATGAACAAAAGTAGATGTTCGACTTGTTTAATCAGCAAATTAAATTGTGATATATATTTTTATTGCTTAGATGTGTGGACGAGCTCACAGCCCACCTGGTGTTAAGCGGTTACTGGAGCCCATAGACATCTACAACGTAAATGCGCCACACACCTTGAGATATAGTTCTAAGGTCTCAGTATAGTCACAACGGCTGTCCCACCCTTCAAACCGAAACGCATTACTGCTTCACGGCAGAAATAGGCGGGGCGGTGGTACCTACCCGTGCGGACTCACAAGAGGTCCTACCACCAGTAATCACAAGAAGTCCTATCACCAGTAAAGTAAGTGTATATAAACTCCTATAGTTACAGTAGCTCAGATAAGAGAAGTCAGAAGGGCTGGTGCTAATAATAATATATGCTTACATCCTCCTCGGGTATGATGAAGTCTTCAGCGGTGACGTTCACGAAACGAATTGACCCAGATTTGTCCACGGCTTCTTCTGGTATTTCCTTGATCGTCACATTGACTGTAGCCTCGACCCAATGGAAGGCGACTATGGGTTCGTTCTCCTCTGTTACCTGTAAGAAAACAAAAGTCATTACATTTGTAAAAACTGTACTGTGTTACTTATAATATTTTGTATTCAAGTTTAACAATATTTGCTATGTGTATGTGCATTACTATAATTCTCATGTTGTATTAGTTATTTTAGCTGTTCTACACACACTCATCACTTTTAATTATTATTCTCATAATCCTCTCGCAGGTCTGCTGGATGAGATTTCTCAAAGAAATAAGCAGTGCCTTTGTACATAATTTTCCTATTACTCTGTACTATGACTTCTTTTTTATGTGTACATAAATAAATAAATAAAATTAAAGTTATTTGTGATTTGTTTTCTTTGTTCTATTTATCAGAAGAGACGGTATGCTCGCCCTCTCGTACACCATCTGATTATTCTTTATCAACCGTCTATATCAGTGATATCTTTGCCTAACTTTGCGTAATTCGTTCCTTAATATTATGTATTAAGAAGTTATTCACACGGCTTGGTAACGCTATTCTGCTTATAAACCTTCTTTTTCCTACCTAATCGTTGTTAGCTTAAGGGTACTCCCAGGGTCAACCTAACAGAATTGCTAACACTGACCTTAGCAAGAGAAGATCCGGGGAGAAACTCAATGGGTTGTCTTTTTTTTATTGCTTAGATTAGTAGACGAGCTCACAGCCCACCTGGTGTTAAGTGGTAAGTGGAGCCCATAGACATCTACAACGTAAATGCCGCCACCCACCTTGAGATATGACTTCTAAGGTCTCAGTACAGTTACAGCGGCTGCCCCACCCGTGCGGACTCACAAAAGGTCCTACCACCAGTCTATGGGCCAGATCTATCTATGTTATATATTGGTACATATCTATCGATCTAAGGGACGAGCTCATGTGTTCAGACGATCTCTTCCTACCAGTATTTAATTTCAATAAATCTTATACTAGAATGTGTATTAGTAATGTTCTCATCGAATTGAATTACAAAAGTTTAACATATTCAATTATTTTGCAAATATCTTCCTCGAGGCTTTTTAATTCTAAATCTGTCTACAGCGCTCCATGGCAAGTAACCACCTCTTAAGTTAATGAAATGACATAATCTCTCTGCATCGAAGGCAGAGGGTATTAAGTACCTATTTTATGTGTGTATTCGAACAAGTTATTAGGGATTATATTGCGTTTATATCGCGTCAGTACAGCTGGCAGCAGCTTGTGTGGAAACAGCTTTTCTGTGTGCCAGGGATTAAAAGCTTTCGCAGCTTAAAAATTCTAAAGTTGACACTTGGATTATGGATGGCGTTTTTAGCTGGTATGTTCCTGCTTTAATGTTTAGTTTTTCGGTTCGAAGCAATCTGTTTGTTTAATGTTACATAAATCCAGTAAAAAAATGCATTTTATTTTTATTAATTAGTTTGTAGACGAGAGATTTAACTAATTATTATGAGATGCATTCATGATGCTAAAAAAATTTGATTGTTGATAATTATAACAACGTCTTACAAACGTAATATCCTATTGACATTTCGATTCTAGAGAAATTTGGTACAACTTTGATTTTAGAAGATGCAGATAAAAAAGAAGTTTCGGTTTGAAGGGTGGGGCAGTCGTTGTAACTATACTGAGATCTTAGAACTTATATCTCAAGATAGGTGGCGCATTTGCGTTGTAGATCTCTATGGGCATAACCACTTAACACCAGATGGGCTGTGAGCTCGTCCACACAACAAAGCAATAATAAAAATTAAAAAAAAAAATTTAATACTCACATTGAATCTCAACAAATAGGTGCCGTTAGGGGTTCCCTCTTTCATTGTTATCATGCCCGTGTTGCTATGGACGTCGAAGTACGGGCTTCTCTGCTCGTATGAAGGCAGCCACATGAACCTCTTGTCCGGTAGATCCCAGTCGTCGGGGTCGTCGACAAACACCCTACCAATCTCCGTGTCTGGTGCCTCGCCCTGCATTATCAAGTTATGTTATACCAGATCAGACAAAATCAATAGTACGTTTTTGATTTCGAAGATTTGCTCACGTTTGAAAAGCGGCACAGATTACAACAAAGTGAAGTTAAACGCAACAACAACAGAAAAGAAAAAAATAAATAAAAAAAATAATAAAAAAATCAAACTATGCATTAAATTGATAATTATTCGATTTCCCGCAATCGAGAAATCGGGATTGGGTTCGAAACTTTTACACACACATAAAATCTCGAATAACTAATTAAAGCAATTTTATCCGGCTCGGATATTCTCCGTGTTAATTTTCCAATTCATTTAGTAATTAAACCGGAACAAGGGAAATACGATGCCCTTTGACGGCTAGCGCGTTGTAATTTTAAAGGGCAGGCTTGCTTCAATGTTATTCCTGTGCTCGTCTCAATTAACGCTGAGAAAAACTATTCGAAACTTCAACGATTATGTATCACTTAATCGAATAATTATATTAATTATCGATTTTTAGTGAGATCATAATTTTTGAACGATATCTAAAAAAAATTTTTTTAAATGGACCTTCTCACAGCGTGTTTTAAAACGTGGCGGTATTATTACAAATTTTGTATGCAATTTTTCCGTTGAGAGAATCGGCAGAAAACTCACGAGATTGTTTTTTATTTTAAATATACATCAAATGTACATCACAAGTTTGTTAAATCAATATTAAAGCAATATTTTATATCAAGAACGTGTTTAGGTTACGTAAAAAAACAATTAATGCTGGCCTTGTATAGATAATGAAAGATTTGATTTTGTACTCTATTGTTATTCCAATAAAGATGCTACCATTTTTAGAATAAGACCTTATTTAAATAAGCTGTCTAAAATTGTTTCACGCGGATCCACGTCAAAGCGATTTTTTCATTAAGTTACCTAAGTACACAACTCAATCGAGATATGCTCTCATACATTCCGCTGTTTTAAAATCACATTTCCAACTACACTGATCGTGTGACCTATTAATCAATAATGTTATAACATCATCGAAAGTATAAAATACATAAACAATAAAAAAAAACCTGACATATTTCGACTACTATTAAATATCTTAGTTGAATTTTCTTCGTGGACATATTATCACTCTATAGAGCTACGAATGAAATGTAAGGATCGTTCACGAATTATTAAAACTATCGAACAATAACTATAACATAACTAATCGAATGAAATCACAGAGCGAACATCGATTACGTTCATTGGTAATTCGAGATTCGCAAAAGTTTTAATTGTACGAGATTTTAGTACGAACGAACTGAAGTTGTGGACCGTTGGCAGAACAAACAGATACCTATTGTATTTCTATTGGCGTTTGGACGCGCTGTGATTCCCGTTTTGCAAGTCGAAAGTCGATGCAACTCCGCAATATCAAAAGTGATTAAATTTTAACCGAAAGTAATGTGGTTTGCGCTAAAAACAGACATTACTTAACACGCTACCGGTGGTAGGATAACTTGTGAGTCCGCGCGGGTAGGTACCACCACCCTGCCTATTTCTGTCGCGAAGCACTAATGCGGGGCAGCAGAACTGATATCTCAAGGTGGGTGGCGCATTTACGTCGTAGATGTCTATGGGGTCCAGTAACCACTTAACACCAGGCGGGCTGTGAGCTCGTCCACCCATCTAAGCAATAAAAAGAAAACGCTCTAACAGAAACATAACAGAGACCATATGATATTTATGAACTCCACTAACTTCTTAATACCGGTGTTAAATAAAATCATTGAAAACGTTTAAGGCCTCATCAAACGTGCGTATAACGAAATCAACCGTTACACTCAAACGAGCAATACACTTTTCCCACACTCTGTACAAAAACCAATCCGCTAAGTAAGAAGTACAAAACCGGGTCGTAACTTAGAAATCAGGGCGGAGACCGTAAAAACCGCCACGCCGCGTAATCCTTGTTTATATTCACGCACTAAACTGCTTTCATTAAAACAGAATTAACATTTTAATGGCCATATATTACTATCGAACGTATGATTTAGATAAGGGAACTAACCAGCGAATCCATTTTCTTTCGCGTGACAAAATTGCACTAGAATAACACGTTCTTTTTATTACACACTAGCTGACCCGGCAGACTTCGTAGTGCCTCAATCGATAAATAAAAGACCTAAACTTTTGTATAGAACAAACAAAAGGAATTCGTCTGACGGGGGACACATCAAAGGGAAAACAAAATTGTTATTTTTATTTAATTCCGAGCATTTTCATATTTATCTACCTTTTAAACCTTCTCTGGTCTTCCGCAAATAATTCAAGACCAAAATTAGCTAAATCGGTCCAGCCGTTCTCGAGTTTTAGAGAGACTAAAGAACAGCAATTCATTTATATATATGTAGATTTATAGATAAGTATTGAATGGCTGTCGGGGCCTACGGACAACACAAATATAATTGGCGCTTTGCATTAATTCGAAGTCTCATCTGAACATGCCTTAGTTGCATGAATTCTTTTTGGGTGAATAGCATCAAAATTAGTTGTGAAATTTCCAACATCTATGCAACTTTCAAACTTATATGACTTCCTTATATCAAAAATTGGCGGGATAGAGTACATAGATCAAGTCATAATACCAAAAACAAAATAGGAGACAATATTAGATTTGATTTTTCGATTAGCTCCCATTTTTAGTACCGTTAGGGAATATCATATATACAAAGACAAAGGTAATGGGACATAATTACTGGCGATTTAAATTAGAGGATGCTCTATTTAGGCACTAGTATTTACATGCAATGTGAATTTCTTCGCATATAGGCAAAAACGATTCTGTTTAAAAACCTTTGAATTTCTTTCTTCTTCATTTTTTCATTTTGTTGGATCCTCGCTGTGTAAAGAACTTTAGGTTGCCGCTTAAATATTTACGAATGTTATTGGGGATCTTTATTTAAGAATGCAAATCAGTAGGGAATTGGAAAATTTCGGACCATTCTCGGTAAAGGGCACAAATTATTCATAATGAAATTTTTCAAGTTTCCGAACAGTTTTTTAAGAACGATCGAAATCATTCGATGCCATAAAATTAATTTAATTTGGATCAAAATGAATTGCGCGAATTTCTTTCGATTACTGTTGATTTCTTCCATTAACGTTAGTCACGAGGGATGTATTCTTGGTATTTTTTATTAATTTAACAATTGAAATCCATTTTGTCTTTCTAACAGAAATCCAATCAAATAAGGTACTAATAATTTACTTAGAACTTCGCGACGACAGATCGATATTGGCTACATAGGGTTAAAATTGAATTTATATATTTTGCAGAGGGAAAAAATGGAAACTTCATCTGTGAATTATTTTTTCGTTACTTTAAGTTTTCACAGTGGCACTGTCGATAAATATTTGGATGTAGCCACGATCCATGAAGTCGAAAGTGTGAATACATTATTAATAGGTTCAATTCATCAATCAAGATAACAGGAACAAACACTTTAGAAGTTTGATAATTTTAAAACAATTGATATATCATTTTACAACGAATTTTAACGATTTTAAAAGGTACCTCTCGGTAACTTAACAAAGTTCAATTAGAAATCTAGCGATACCTCATGAATAAATAAGAAAATAATTTTGGATTATCGGTAGTTTCTTACAGAATCTACCATGAAATTATTAGTTTCTAAACATAACTTGAAAGAAACATTTGAACGCGTTGAATTCAAGGAAAGACAATTCTGTTCCGCTAATGAGATACTTAAAACTATAAGCAAATGCCGATATTCTTTGTTCTGAACAGATTTTAGTCTTTATTGGTCGATTCTAAAATAAATCAAAAATAAAAATCTATTCCTCATAGATTTCTCCAAGGAACGTAAGACTACACCGAGGTAACTAAATGGACGATTATCTCGCATAATTATCTCTCAATTTTGTAGTACGCGATAAAGCACTGTTAAAACTTGTCTTTTTCAAGTATCAAGTGATCAAGTCGCGCTATACGCAGCGTTTACAATGGGAATAACTCCGAAACCGACAGTAAACCGTCTAATCGGTAATAATGTAGTCTGCTACAATGAAAAATCGTAAAACTGTTTACGATTTTCGTCGTAAAGACCAATGAATCCTCGGCTCGAGCGACGAGACATTATCATATTTCATACGCTTTCAGGCGGTCGCGTCGGGGCGTCGGGGGGAACGCGAAAACCGTAATCAAATGAAACTTTACGAATTATTTAACAAATAAACTTGATCCTTTTAACGTTATTAAAACACTGCATGCGTTTCATGAAATTACTTAAGACATAAATGGGTTTTGTTAATATTTCATTTTGCACGAATGTACATCTGCTGTTTGGAGTTTACGAGCAGAATTGAATATAATAGAAACATACATAGCCTTTGAGGCTTTTCGGATTACGGACTTATAGAAGTGTGTTGATATAGAAAAATATTAATTATAAAATCTGTAGTAATTGCTTCCGTAAGAAGGGTTAGCGAATTTGATAATAGTTATGTGTCCCAAAACAAATGATGAGTTGTTAATTTTTAAAATTACGAATAAAAGTAAATTGAAACGATCATTCTATCATTATTTTTGTGATTTATCAAATGGCTTTAAACATTTATTAAATTCCAATATTAATTAAGAAAATACTAATTTAACTAATTTAAATATTTTAACCAAAATTTAATCTAATCACACAGCACGATCCTTTTTGGGTTGCTAAGTCATTGTACTACTCGTAAATAAATTGTTTTATTTTTTCAGGTCCATCTAAAAAACGGCTTGGCAGCAGCTTGGCTCTACCCCTGGCATTGCTAGAGTCCATGGACGACGGTAACCACTCACCATCAGGTGGGCTGTATGCTCGTCTGCCTACAAGGGCAAAAAAAAACAATCAACCAATGCTATTTTACGTGACCAATGGTTGTTAGTGTATCTTGCATATTTTCGCCACAAATGACGTAACACGTAATAAAGTTCAGCGGATTTTTGTGAATTAAGAGCTGGCCAA